TGGTTTGTGCTCTGCAGGTCAAAAACAAAGGAAGAGCTCTGTCAGCAATAACACTTTGGCATGAGATTTTTTTTTTTCTTCTTTCCTATTCAGAATATAAAGGTTGTCCTTTTGATAGTCTTTATGACTCAGATGTTTTAATCTGTGTTTTATATCAAAAGGTTAATGACTTCAGAGAAGTAAGTGCTTGTTGCTATGTTGTAGTGTGTTGGTAGATTTGATAGCATAACTTCTGCCACGTCATTTTGTTTTCCAGGTGAATCATAGAGCAGTACAGTAATACTTAACTGGTCTGGAGAGAGTAGTTTAAAAACCAAGTCATGGTTACTGCATTTGATACAATACTGGTTATGCTCCTTGTAGCAGCTAGATTCAAACTAGATTTTGAGGGGATTAAGCTAGAATTGGCACCTACATAAAATGAATTTCTATGCCAAATTTGGGCGAGTTAGGAGCAGCTTTCCTGAATATCAACCCCCAGATGTCAGTTTTAAATATTACCTAGTCTTAATTCTACTGTTCTGTTTTAAAATAGTAGTAGTTTTTAAAAATATTCCATTTTATCAATGAGAGCATGTTTGAATTCTGTTATTTTGTAAATGTGATGGTTGCTAATGCATTGTATTCCCCTCTACCACTTGTGGCCTCTTAAACATTTATCAAGAAAGCTTCCTTGTAACTTTGCAGTGGGAGACTTGCTTTTTCCTGTCAGACTGTGAAGGCTTTATTGACTTGAAGTCTCAGCCCATAGATACAGGGAGGATAAAGGTTAACTCATAAATGATTCCATGATACGTGTTATAAATGAAGTCTTTATTTTGCAGTCATTTGAACAAAAGTTAAAACAAGACACTAATTTTAATTTTTAGATTTTACTGAGATCTCCGTGGTTATTGTAGGTGGCAGGTAGTCTCTGATTAATTAGAAGATTTGCACAGAATTAAGAAAAACGTATTGGCTCAGAAAAGCCTTGTTGCAATAAATTGGTTTTCTGTATTTGGCGTTTGATTTAGAGGTGTTTGTGCTTCTTCAGCCTACTTAACTTTGGTTGTCTAGACTAAGGACCTTATTATTAAGACTCTCCTGATTTCTTACTATCCTTGTTTTAGCCAATGGATTTTTGTCTTGAGCCTTTTATGTACTCGGGGATTTATATTTATTTCCTTATTTCTGGTGATGCTGAATCTCTGAGTTAAAATTTCAAACACAGTTTGCTTACTCTAAAGTTATATTTTCTTTTGCATAACATCATTGAAGGGAGTCACTGTACTGCAGGGAGTATTTTAGTTGTTCTATTAGCAAAACTACACTACTGCCTGGAAAAAAAACTTGCCTTTGAATTTATACTGACTGATGATCATTTACTCACGCTGGAAATATTTATGTGCTTACAAAACTGATACAGGAAAGGACAGATTGATGGGCTTTTCAGTTTCTGATCAGTTGAGTTGTATACTTACCAGCTTTATTTGCTTTTTTCTTTTTATTGCCCTAATGTAAGACTACATCTCTCACTGTAGCTATATGTAAGAGGGAATGAAGTACAAATGAAGTTCTTTTTACAGAAGTCATGCTCTTCATCTGTGCTGTTTCCTTGCATATGTGAATGTGGTACTGGCAGCTCACATTTTGTCCGTTCTTTGTGCATGCATGATGTCTTACTTTTCATTTGCAGAAGATTTGGGAGAAATTGTTGTATTTGCTGGTAGCCTGCAATGTAATATTGAATTATAAAGTATGTTGTTTTGTTCACAAAAGTATGGAGAAGGAGGAAGGAGGCAAATTCATATGCAGTAGTGAGCACTGGAAAAGCACAGGTAAGGCTTATGTCTTACAAACCAGAGCTCTGAGGTGCTTTTACTGTTCTTTGTTGTATCAACATTGACAGGAATTGCTGGCATGCTCCAAAAAATTGGTCTTTTAACTATTAGAAGCAAAAATTGTGAATCTTGACAGTGGGTAGTGCAGAGCTGGAGAACTCAGTGTAAAACACTTGGCTGTGATGTTCTGTTCTAGATTGTGGTGTTTAGGAGGAGGGAAGTTTCAGCTCTCATTTCTAGGCAGCATCTTGCTTTTGCCTGATAATTGAGTGCAGACAGGACCACATGGAGATTTAGGCATAATTAAATCAGAGTGTAATGAATGTTAAATTTTGAGACATGAGGTGAGTTATTAGGTAATCCATTTTACTTGAGGTTTATTTCTATGATGATTGAGTACACATCTTCAAGATTTATTCTCCTCAGCTCGTCTGAAGAATGGACTATTGGTTTCTACTGTAAAAAAATTCTGCTTGGCTTTGCTTGAGTTTCAAACTCAAAGTATAAATGTACGTTTTGAGGTTGTGTATTCAAGGAAGTTCATTTATATATTACTGGTTAAAGAAGACTTGGTTTGTATCCAAGTGTGCAGAAGATCAAGGAGAAATGAAGAGCAGGTATTTATCTACCAGAGCTTGAGAGTTCTAAGATTTCTTCTTGTTTCCAGTTGTACTTGGATAGTGCTGAATTGTAAAGTGAACATGCAAATGTAATCAACATTTTAAACTTTTTATCCTGATTTTTTTGCCCCTAAATCGATTTTGAGTGTGGTGGTTGACCTTTTTTTAGGAAGTAAGAATGACTGTTTAGTATAGCCTCCTTCTGCAGTAGGGCGTAGAGCCAAGTTTAATGTGCAATTAGCTTTCTGAATTGATTGATAAAATAGCTGTGGAAATGTGAAGTGAGTGCCCATAATGTCTGGGTGTAGCTGACAGGCAGGTCAGAAGTCAGATGTCAGGGAAGCCTGCAGTCTCTGGTCTCCAGAAATTGTGGCAGGTTTCCCCTCTTACTCAGAAGTGGAAAGTGTATTAAAGGAGTTCTGTGTTGTATACTGAATGGGAGCAACTTTATCTGCCTGACCTCTTGATTTGCATGTTCAGGTAAGGACAAGGCATAAAGCAGCACTTGACTGTTAAACAAACTTTGCAGTAGGCCCCTAACATTTTTTTAAAGAGTATTTTATAAAGGAAGCTGGGGTGTGATAAAATAAATGTGCCGTGGGAGCTGTATTATTCTTATTTTTACTTCCCCTTTTGGAAATGTATGTCTCTTCAGTAAAAGATAAGTGGCAGCACTGGGAAGGATGTTTGGTGGTCCTATAAAAGGTCATATTTTAGCTTCATTCTTGTAAGTGGTTGAAGCAACTTTTTGTTCATGGCATCTGGGTAGATTAATCTTGGAGCTTCTCTAAACTTGCTGAAATGTTACTGGCTTTTTAAAGGACAAGACCCATCATATGTTCAGTGTCTATTTAAATCTGCAGATTAAAAATGACAGATATTAACTTTGGCTCACAAAGAGCATTTTGTATGTCTTGTAGCTGTATCCCACTAATCAAATTTGAAGTATTTGGGGACTGAGCTGCCAGCTGGAGTTTCTTGATTTGTAATTCAGTTGCTTTATATATAGTATTTATCTGATTCTATCAAATAAACTTTTTGATTATTTGCTCTCAATCTGGAACTATTTTTGAGAAGGCCATTTAAAGCCGTATGAGTGAGCCATTTTGTTGAACTGTTCTACAGTAAAATGACAGGACACTGAGGATCTGCACAATAAAGGCATTAGGCTAAAAATGTGAGTCAGAGTCAGTGATCTGTTGTTTTGCAATTTATTGAAGATTTTCAAATGAACTTTGCCCACACTGAAACTGAACTAAATAAAGAGGTTAAGGGGGCACCTTAGATTCAATAAATACTACTGTGATTTATTGAACATTTTAGGTGGGACATTAAAAGCTGTGGGGGAAGTACTTCCAAAAGCAGGGCCATTTGTGCCTAAGTCAAAGGTCAGTCATTTCAGAAATGATTAAGTTTATGGCCAGTTTTAAGGAGTTTCTTTCATCAGCAATGCCCTTTTTAAGCAATTCCTTTATTCTCTCAAGCTACTCCTTCTTTTCCTGCCATTTAAGCCACTCTCTTTCTTCTATGCCAGGGTTTCCTGCTAAACTGGAACACAGACCCAGGTTATTTTTGTTCTGTGTCAGTTCCCTGGGATGGCTCATCACATAGCCTCCAAAGGTGGCACATCTTAGCTGAGAGTGTGCAGCAGGGACAGCAACTGGAGCCAGGAGATGGGAGTGACCAAGGCTGTCAAAGCCAGCTCTGGCACTTTGTGTATCTGGCTGTAGCCTTTCAGGTTCTGCCACTGGTTCTGTGACCATGCCAGGGCCATTATGGTTTTATTTCTTTGTTTATCATTATTTCTGGGTGGTTTTATTTGTGGGGGTGTTGAATATTTGGGGTTTTTGGGGGGTTTTGTTTTGGTTTTTTAACTTCACTGGCATAATAATTCCATGAGTGAAGGTGTGTAGATGCTGTAAAATGGCTTACTCCAGCTGTGTGCAAATGTAGGGCAGCAACACTGTATTTAGCCTGCTGCATAACCATGGAGTTTCTTGTGTCTTTGTTTTACTGTACACATACCCACCCTCCTATCTTGATTTTTCAGAACTATGGCTACCTTAACAGAGAATTACTTAGCTTTGGTGACAGGCATGTAAAACCAGAAGGTGCCTCTGTTTCTAGAAGTATAGAAATTGTGTAATGAGAAAGCAAGAAAATACAGCTGTACATGGTTTCTAACTACTGTAGAGTAACTTGAAGTTGTGTACATGCAGATATGTACAGGATGTGCAGACATGCTGTGCATATAATTTGAATTGTAAATTTCTTTTTGAACCCTGGTAAATCTTCAGGAAAACTTTAGACTTCATCTTGGGGTTTCTGAAAAACACAATTGGAAATTAATTTTTGTGGTGCATGAGAACTGTAAATCAATGTTACGTTTTTTCCTTCTAAGTGAAGATTTTAAAATTTTATTTTTCCGTTTCTGTTACATCACTATTTCTTTGTATGTCTTTATGAATGCATCAGGATTGCATCACAAAATAGTTTGAAAGTGAAAATATTGTAATTCAGTGTAATGAAATGCTATTAAGAGATATTCTTTCTTTCTCAGGAAAACAAAGAAATAGACTGGAGCCAATGGATACCATATTTGTTAAACAAGTTAAAGAGGGTGGACCTGCTTTTGAAGCTGGGCTGTGCACAGGTACTGTTCAAATCATGTTTATGTACATGATATAAAATACATATGACTTAAGTTGCTGCTACATAGTTCTATCTTCCATTTAAACCTTCTTCTTTCCTTTAGAAGCTTTTAAGTTGTCCTCAATTTTTTTCACCTTGGAAGCACTGTTTTGCTTCCTAAGGTATAAAAGTCTTAGTCTTTTTGATTTGCTATCTTAGAGTAATAAAATACGTGAAGAAGAGGCACAAAAGGAAAATAATACCTGTAATCTCTGTATATATTCTTGCAAAATTCTGGTCAATTGCTCATTTAATCAAACTGGAGAGCAGAAAACATGAAGGTTTTTTTAAACGGTGTCATACCTTTACTTAAGTGCTGAAAGAAGAAAAAAGCTGTATTAGAATAGAAAATCATACAGGTGATAAAGTTACATGCATAGATGGATGCCACTATGAACACAGGTTTCTTAAAAATATGGAAAAATTTCTGTTCTATGAAAGGCTTGTGCTTTTGTCAATAATGGGATATTGGTTTATTTTTTAAAAAGTTATGTACCTCAAATTGACTGAAATAGAGTAAGTTTTGTATGTTCTTAAAGAAATGCAAAGTTTCTAGGTTGATCAGCTTAAAAACAGTTCTAGATCCTACTTGTACACCATAAGGGTTTTGGGTTTTTTTTTTTTTTAAACTCCTCCTTAGATGGTTACTTACAGAAGGGCTACTTTGCAAAGTTTGACTGCTATTATATAAAGATGTTTTGGCTTGATAAAATGCAGCATATGTTGAATTTGTACAGAGGAACCATGTTAATTTCTACTCTTTTTCAATGTCTGCCAAATTGAGAGAGATGACATCTGTGGAGAATATTTTATTTTTAGTTATAGAAGAGATTTTTTAGGAGCCCAGAATAAAGAGCAGAAAATAAATGAGGGAAGACATTTTTAATAACTAGAATATTATTCTTAAACACACTACTTATAGCATTTACATCTAATTAGGTCGTGCCTGTATTTCTTGTTTATGAATTCTAGGGTGAAATATATTACTGTATCTCTGTCTTGGTATTATAAAACACTCAGGGAATAATCAGCCAGTTAGATTGCTTAACCTCTCATGCAGGCACTATACATTTCTTATTTTGTAGAATAAACTGTATTTTTTTTTTCCTAAAGTAACTTCGCTCTGTTTCGTGGTCACACAAATGAAAATACTTGAATATTCGGTATGAGTTTAGGAAGTTATGTTTGTCAATTCTTATTTCACTGCTGCAGGGTCCTTTGTAATACTGAGTTTCAATGTAAGTTTCATCACCCATGATAAATGAGCTCCATTTCAGGAGCTTACTTGGCTGCTTCTCACCAGAAAACTTGAAATACTCTTGCAAATTTGAGCAGTAGAGAAAGCTATCTTAAATAGTCCATTCTGAAGTACTTCTGAATACTCCTGTGAAATCATCTTTGTTAGAGGTAGAAAGGTAATACTTCTCCCATTTAACCTTCAAGGCATTTCATTAAAAAATAACTTATCTGTGAGTTCATAAATATTAGAAGTATTGAAATACAGCCAAAACAGATCTGTATTTTTCACGTCTTGATCTTTGTGCTGCCATTTTTCTATATGCAAGAATATAAAGAACTCACATGTGTGTGGAAAGGGCATTCTGATTAATTTCTACTTCAGTCAAAACATGTGGCAGGCTATCAGACTGATGGAGAGGTGTTAGAAAAAGCCCTCATGTTTCTGTATCCTTTTTTGTACTACAAGCACTGACTTGCCCTTCCTGTGTATCTGAAACAGAACAAAGTTGTACTTGCAGAGGTGTCTGTGCTCATGTCATTTATGTAACCAGTTCTGCAGTGTGTCCCCATCAGATACTTTGGCAGATCCATGGGATGCATATTTCAAGTAGACTCGTGTCACAGCTGTGTGTAATCTAGTCTACTTCTGTGAAAAATAAAACCACAAATATAGATAAAATTATATGACCTACTCTAATATTCCTAATTATAGTTTTTAGTGGGAATACTGAGTAAAGATCTGTGGCAATGTCGCCCACATTACAGGCTGTTCTTAAACAACCTGGAAAAGAGCCAGTTGAAGTCCCAATTAGGATCTGGTGTGTTCTGGGCAAGTTTTGCAGCATGACCTAGCCAGGATAGGGTTCAGAGCTTGTTGCCATCAAACTTTCATTCATTGCGTAGGAAGCAGGAGACAAAATTCATAGTTCCTTCAGGCAAGAAGAAAGGTGGTAAGCAGTGGATGAAGGGGAATAGGTAAATTTCTATAAAGTTGAAAATATCACACCAATTTATTGGCATGATGTTTACTTTATGTGTGCAGACAAAATTAAAAAGTCAGATCTGTGTTGTTTGTTAATCCATAGGGTCTGTCTGGGGACCCTCCACAGAGCACAAGCATTTAAAGCATTATTGTCCCCATGACAGGCTGAGTAGTCAGAGTGAACAGCTTTTTCCTTGCTTTGATTTGATCATGCCAGAAACACAAAAAGGGCTTTCAGTTTCTAAAACAATGTGGAAAAAGCCATTCCCTTTGCCTTGCTTTGTACAGGTCCTTTGTTTCAGCTCTTCCTCCAGTAGCTTTTTGAAGCTCCCTACCTGTAATCCTTCAAACCATTTTCTCTTCATTAGGAAATTCGAGTTACCTTTCTACTCTTCTGATCAGAGATGTCTTAATGGTCATTTGATCAAAAGAACAGGTTTTTCATCACAGGCTAAAAATAGCTCTACACAATATATTTGACAATTAATTTATGAAAGTATATGAAACTTGTAAGGAGAAAGGTGTAACAAAATATATGGAGAAATCTTTATTTTTGAGGAAGACTAACCTTGAATTTAACATATGGGTATCAATTATTGTGAGGTGTAGAATTAAAATAAAATTTATTTAAAAAGCATCTAGACAAACTAATTTCAGTTATAACTTTTCCCTCTACAGGTGACAGAATCATAAAAGTCAATGGAGAAAGTGTTATTGGGAAGACATATTCTCAAGTCATTGCTTTAATACAGAACAGGTAAGATAATACTGTTATCATTATGTGCCACACTTCTCGTGTACGGAGCTGGAAATGACCACTTATGGGAGTTTTGAAAAGTCGTTGTATTATTAAATTTTCATTAATACACACTCAGTTTTATTTTTCTTTTTTTCATTTATGTATTGATTGCTGAGAAAAGTTTGGGAATAGGTGTGCTGAATTGTACCACAGTCCCTTTATTGTTGGTACTTGTCCCTTATTAGCAAATAACACCAAGTGTTATAGAGGAAGTTTGATCTCAAAATAGATCTCATGAGCAAAGTGGATTGTAAAATCTTCTTTTCCAATTGACATATGTATGCATACCTAATCTGTCTAAGAACTAGAAAACAGCATATCTGGCAAAGAAAAGAATTCATGCTAGTGCACACCTGCAGAATATCTGCATTAAATCTTTGCTTTCCCCTGTTTTGCAGCAAATTATGAACCTTGCTCAGAGTTGAGGAAATACTAATATTTAATGCTCCTGCAACTCACAAGCACTTGGGAAATCCTTCCTGTGCATGAGTCTAGATACTCTGTCATGTCTCATGTCTGCCTCCATTTTTACAGTATTCTTGGTGTCAATTTCTGTTCTATAACAACAAGTTTCCAATATAATGCTAAGTTATGTCACAAAAAGTTGTGTTATCATCAGCATGAAAGAATGTTTTCAAAGTACATCTCACGTGTCATATTTTTAGTGGTTCGTCAACATGTTAAAACTTAGATATGCTTACTTTTCAAGGAAGGAAAAATCAGATTCTCATCTTCCTATTTCAGTGTTGTTTTTATTCAAGATTTTGTTCAAAATGTGTACATCTCGGGTGGCTTGTGTCTCTGTGGGGTTGTTTTGGATGTTGTTTTGGTTTTTTATAAACAGAACTGTATTCATAGATGTGATGGACAAGGTAGACTGAAACATGTTTTGTGTCATTAATGCTGTCTGTACAAGAGCTGGGCAGATGGGCTTTATTTCCTTAACTGGATATAACACTAGCCATGCATTGTTTCTTTATTTTGTATTTTTACAAGCAGCACTATTGTACAATAGTGTACAATACACTATATCTATACCCAAGATATAGTGTATGCCCAACTATGTAGATCAGTCAGTTAACTCTTAATCCAAGGAAGGGACCAGTCACATCTTTGAGTGGCCTGTATGGTCAATGATTCTTACCTCTGGGTGTGCCTGTGAATCAAGTTTATTTTCAATGAGTATAAGTAGTGAACTATTCAGTAGAACTGAATCCCTGCCCACTGTGGATAAACTGGGGACACCTGAACAAGGCCTTGTCAGTGATTATCTAGAACAGCCAGGAATGGTGTAGCACACTGCTGCATCTGTCCCCCTGATTTCCATGAGGGCAGGGAGGATGAAGGGATGCTATTGTTTGTTAGGAGAGAACAGTTTGTTTTCTCGAGCCAGATGTGTACATCACAGAAGATTGTAACAAAAGGTCATGTGTGTCCTTGGGCATTTTATACAGCCTATACAACCATCAGGAAGTCTACAGTTGAACCTCTTAGGATAAACAGATAAATGTTAATTCTGATCCATAAAGAACTCAGACTCCACATCAGGTGTATCTTGTAGCTTAGAGGCAGTACTTCTCATGTGACTGAAGAATCATCTGTCTCTCATTCTTTGCTTGAAAACAGTATTTTTGAGCTCAGCTGTTTGGTCTGAACATAAATTTTTTCTTCTTAAGCTGCCATTTCATGGCAAATAAAATTGCATTATGGTGCATGCTGCTCTTGCATTAGCATTGCCACCTGGGTCAGACTGATGGTCCATTATGCCATTATCCTCTATGATAATATCCAGCAAAGATTTCTTTGAAGTTCATGAAAACTCTGGAGCTATAGAGTGATTTGAGTGGTCATATATCAGCCCACTTTCTATAGACCCAGCCCACTTTCTATAGAACAGGAAAGGTTCAGGAAGTTGCTAAACCCCATGTTTCATCTTCATTGCTTGATTTAGTAATTCTTGATAGGTTGGCCTTGCACAAATTCGTTCTTGAATGTACTTACACTCTTCACATTAAAAGCACCTGGTGACACAGTTTTTGCTGTGTTTTGTAGCTGGTGTTGCATCAAGCACACCTTGGCTTCTTTATTTGGCCTTGTGAAGGCAGCTTGCTGAAAAGCCTTTTGAAAGGCTGAGTTGTCAGCTGAAATATTTTTATGACTAAAGACATTTTCCTTCATAGTCTTAATATGTTTTATGTTGGTTTTCTAGACATTTTAATTGCTGTATTTTTATTGGTTTTAATTGCTCATTCAAACATATTGATGAATGTAAATGCTTATTCTTTTGTCATTTTATTCATCTTCAGAGAAGTTTTTAAGGTTACAACACATTTCATCCTCTCTGCTCTAAAGAGGGCTTCCCCATTGCTCACTGTTCAGCTGTTTGCAATAAAACTCAGTGCAGGCTGGCAGATTTTTGTTTTAGATTACTTCCGTGGCTCCATTTTTATAGCTGCTTATTGTTTTTCTAAAAAGTTATTCCATTTTAGCTGCTTGTCTTCATTATATAATGCTGCAGACATCAGAACTTAGCTGCTTTAGATGAAATGATACCCATATCTTCCAGTGGGACTTAAGGATGGGATATAATTCAGCCGTGCTCCGTACTGTTCCCAGAAAAGTTTCAAGCTGTGTCTAGAATGTTTTCTATTTTCCTCTGCTTGGAGACACCAAAACTAAAGTTAACACTGATTATTTCCTCTGGGAGATGAAAGGCACACCTCAGAAGAATTGCTAGATTTAACTACAGTCCTGTAAGATTAATCATGACTACACTTTTCACTCTACATTTCCTCCTCTTTGCCAACAGTTGCTTGTTTGGTCCGTTAAGAATTTATTCTTATCCATTTACATATATGATCAGCTTGGAGATATGTTGGTTGCTAACATAAACTCTGTAAATTATTTGTTATTCTAAATAAAAGAAGAAACAGATTCTGATTTACAACTTCTCTTTTCCCCCATTTTTTTCTTAAACTGGGGAATTTGAATGATTGCTATTCTGCTTACTTCTCTTTTCAAACTGTTCTTGAAAGTGTTTGGATTACTCAGAAATGTACAGAGTTTCGCTACTGAATTTGTTTCATTAATACAAAATAATGCACTAGAAGATAGACTTTATGATTAGTGCTTTAGTTTGATGATTTGGAATCAAGACATTTGAATTTAAGTCTCAGAATGTGTAATGAAAGTAATTGGAATGATAAATATCTCTGAGAGTTTTGAGTAAAAAGTACTTCAAGAGGAGCACTACTATCATATTTTTGACATCCAAAGTCTTCGTCCTGCAAGTAAGCAGTTACCTGATATGATTTGTACATACATGCTATCCATGTGTAGACCTGAAATCGGAACACTGTTAAAAATGTCTCAAGCTGTTTATGCATTCAGTCAATATAGGAAATGCTATTGTAAGTGCACATAAAGTCAATACTCTCTTGTTCCTTATAATTCATTGTTTTAAAATAATGTTCACAAGTCTTTTGAAGACTTACCTATGTATGTGGACTTAAAAGCTTAAATCACTGCTGATCTTCAGTTTTAAGACAAAAGTAAGTTTATGCTGCTTGGAGAACACTCTTTTCCAAAATGAATAATGATGTTAAAAGATGGTGAAACCAAATACCCTTACTCTGCTATTTTGGAATTCAGCCTTATGTCTGTGGTTGCTAGAAAATGGAAAAGGAACCGCAAAATAGAAAGATTTTTCATATAAGAAAGCATAACAAATCGCACATTATATTTTGAGATGACGGCTTTCTTTTCTGCAGAGGTAAACTGAGGTCCTTCTGGGTGCTTTCACAGGCTGATCTGTGCGCCCTGTAGTTGGGCTGGTCTTTGTGCTGGCTTTGTCTTTCCTCACCTAATGCATTGTACTAACCAGTACAGATGAGCTCATTTCTGACATACCCAGTTAGGTTATATGCCTTTTTTTCTTATGCTGATCCTGGTCAGTTTTTTTAAAATATCCTCTTTTAGTTCTGACATGTGAGATTTCTAAGTAACGGTCACAGTAATTTCATTTTGTCTTTTTGGCCCTATTATAATGACTGTACAGTAGTCTTTTGTAGCCCTTCTTTGTACCTGTTCCTCTTCACATTTAATGAATGTGAACAGATTATTCCATTATCTCAGATGAGATAATAAATTCATCTATTCTGTATCCAGCGTTAAGAGCATATGCTTCTTTCTTGCTTGCAAAAATACCTTATTTCTGGTAGATGCCAGCTGTGCATTTCACTGTTTTTAAGTTCAGCCGGGTAGCTGGTACATTGTGCATTTGGTGTCCCGGTTTTGCTTGTGTTTGTGTCACACTGATTGAACTCTTCAGATTCCTGGATCTTTATGCTACTGCTGCTTTTGGTTTCAGCAGCTCAGACTGATGAAGGCAACACTTATAAGTAGCAAGCATTTTTCATCCATATTTCAGATGTCATCTGAATGACTGTTTAAGTTGATTCTGCTAGGAGGTGATTGGAGTGGAAGGGTGTAGGTCAGTACTTGCCTTGATATTGCTCCTCTTTTCACATGATGTGGTGATTATGATGTCACCACAGCAATTTTAAAGAGTACTAAGAGACTTCAGTTTTAAATTGAAGGAAAAGTTTTAGCTTTGATTTACAGATTTGTCATGTTCTTTTTTTAAGAAGTTCCAAACACATAGTGTACCTTAGGACTTGAGGAAGGAAAAAAAAAAAAAGGGAAATAAAACTGCCCAAACCAATGTGTTGGCTCAATAAACTGGCTCAGTCAGATTTCTCTTCTGCTCTTACTTCCTGAGATTCCAGTGGAAATCAGTGTTTACTTTTGTTGTAATGTGTTTGTCATAATAGCTGAATGTTGGAGTTCTTGGACAGTTTTCATCTGTGGAAGTTAATTGATTATCATTCTAATAAGAATTGAAAATCTCCAAAAGTTCATCTGTGATATGTTTTTTTTCTATTTCTTTCAGTGACAGCGTATTGGAACTTAGTGTTATGCCAAAAGATGAGGACATCCTTCAACTGGTATGTTTATGAAGCTTCTGTTCAGAGAATATATTACCTAAACAAAAATGTTCTGTTCTTGGTTATGAAGTCTTTGAAGTGTGCTATCAGAAATAATTAGAGTTCATATTTATCTCTTTGTAACTCCTTAGATATTTTCCTACTCCTTGCCATGCCTGAAATGTCAGGGGAATCCAAATATAGGGAATGCGGTCTTCGTGTGGTATTTCTAGCATGTTTAAAAATACATCTTGTTCATATTTTTACTGTAATTTGGATTAATTTCATCATGTTAGAATTTTTGCATCGGATGGCTTCCTTTAACTAGGTTGTCCACTTCTAAAGAGTTTGAATTCAAAAACTAGCATATGAAGCCTTTCTTAATAACTCATTAATTGTGAGTGGACTAAGAAGGGTGATGAATGGGCCAAAGGTTATTACCAAATTTTTTAGTTCTGACTGCTGTAAATGTTTTGTTGCACTAGTGCCTATTTGCTCTTGATTTTAATCGAGGTCCTGCATGTGTAGTAAGATAATCCATCTCCCATTTAGTGTCTCCAAGTTGTGAAGAGTCTTGAATAATACACGATATGTAAGTGCATATTGTGAAGAATAAAAAAATCACTTAGTATATTGATATGCTCCAGTTTATTTTTAATTGGAAGCACAGGAGAGAAGATGATGACAAGTGGGGTAGGTTTTCTTGTTAGAAGTTGGAAAAGTGTATTTTCTAATCCACACAGAAGTAGTAAGATGACACTGTGTTAAGAAAAACCTATGGGTTTCAGTAGCTGTTTTCCATTATTACAGACCAAATTAATGGGTAAAGAAATAAACAAAAAAACTTTGTTTTGTATTGAAGTGAAGGTAGAAGCTAGTACAGGAGCCCTCCAGCTAGGACAACAAGCCAAGATTATTAGAATAAAAATGGTATTTTGAGAACATTTGATGAAGACGTATTTCAATAATCCAACACACAAAACGTTGGGGGCAGGATGTGAGTTTTGAGTGCATGAATATGTGGGAGAGAAAAGCTGTTGAGGTGTTTCTTGGTGGTTGTTTTTTTTTTTTTTGTTTGTTTGTTTGTTTTTTAAATTGGAACTGTGAATATGTATAAATACAGGAATAATGCTAACATTTAAATTATCTGAACGCCATATGCACCTAATGCCATCTTGTAGCCATAATAGTGTAAGAATCTGGACAATGCAGGATTTGTAGTTTTAAAGTTAAACATTTGTGTTTGTTTGGATAAAAAGGTCTTAGGCATATCATCTCTCTGTTAGTTAAGCACAAAGTGCAAACTTCAGGTGAAGTAGAGATGAAAAATAATTGGTTGTCTGTAACTTGTTACATCAACAGGTGAAATGGGGGAAGATTGCAAAAAAAGATTCTTGTTGCCATTACTGATTAGGAAAGAATATTAATAAAAAGAAAATAAGAAAATCTCCTTGAGGAGACTGAGGTGTAAAGAAAAGAGAAAAAATACGTGCCTGTGGAAGTTCTAGAAAAATATTAGATATATGAGAACTCTTCAGGTGTCATTATATAAAAGTTCCTTCTGAGTTTTAAGATGTGATAAGAGTTGTGAATTTTGTGAAGTTCTTCTATTGAAGATAGAGGATTAGGTTTGACAGGTAAAGTCATAATTTTGTAAAAAATACATTGACCCTATAGCTTGTATGAGTTCCTTCAGTTGTTCACTGTTGGGTTGGGTGGTGATACAGAAGGAATTTATGCTATTGTTTGCTAAGATGCATTTGTTTGTTATAAAGTGAGCTGCTCTTGAGGGCTTCCAGTTCCACATAGGATTTTCCAGAGGAAAGCCATGGAGGCACAGGTGTTTCCTGTATCCATAAGGCTGAGCACTGGGTGTACTTGGATCTATTGGAAATGACCTCTGATAGCAGCAGTTTGTTCATTCAGTCCTGGCATGGAACACTTCAGTATATATGTTTCCAGGTGTCAGTTTTTTATGGCTGAGCTGCAGCTTGTGAAGAAACTGATGATAAAAATGAATTGCATCTTTTGACAGAGTCTGTCAGTTGTGGCCCATTACTGTATCTGTTTTAGCCTACTACACAGGAGGAAAGATTTTAGCCTTTCTAAAATAATTTACAGTCTTTTGATACAGTGCATTCTCAGTAACTTGAGTAAAATGAAGAATCTGTGCAATTCCTCTGAATTGTAATAGAGCTGAAGTTGTGTTACATAAGCTATTACAGAATGTTAAGTAACAGTTGTTTTTTGTGACACATGTCACTGTAAATGTCTTCAAATAGTGTCACTCATTGTAAACTGATGCCAAAACCTGGTATGATGTAAAAATAACAAAACTTCAAGCACTACTGGATATTACAGTATGAGCTAATAAATGGTGTATCTAACGAAGTGAGGATGGAATAGTTGAATTATATTCAGGAATGATGCTGATTGTGCTAAATTTTATAGTACTTGGTAGTCTACTCCATGTGCTCATGACTGAGGGCTAGAAACACAGTTGCTTGTTTCTATCCTTAGTTTGCTATTTATAAACCTAGAGTTTAGTTTTCAGAAATACCTATGTATGTCTGCAAACCTCTTGGTATATTGAATTTCCTGAAAACATGGCTTCAAATCCATTCATCAATGGATTTGTAACAATGAAGTGGTCCAATCTGCAGACCATTGCCCTCTGTGACATGTGAACAGTGCTTACTTGGAAGGGAATTACATGTGAAATCCTATCATTAGTGAAACCAATGTCAGTTGTATTTGTTCACTGTGATGTTGAAAATGTCACTTTGTGGATGAGGAAAAGTATATTTAAAACATCTATATCCATAACAAAATCTCGAACTCTTGACAGCTGTGTATGTGTCGGGTTTTTTCATGCTTCTCCTCAAATTAGTGATAAATTTACTTAAATCTATCAAGAGAGATTTTTTTTTTAAACATTTCTAGATATATGACCATTTTTAAACTAGGAAGAGGAGGATTATTTTTGTCATGTTATCCTTGGTGTTTCAAATTTGATGTATCTGTATGCAATTTCCGTAGCATTCTCAACCTTTTTTGACAGAATTTTGGCATCTTGTAGGTTTTAGTACCACTGACTTCGTGCAAATGGGAAGATGCATTTAGGTCAGCTACAAATAGTTCATTTTTCTCAAGTGTATTCAATGAAATTGCTGTTTTGTAGCCTTTGGATAACAAGTTTAATGCTAAAATACTGTTTAGATTTTGACAACTTTCCAGTTGTTCAAAAGCTTTCTGTGCTATGTAGAAAATAATTAATGTAAAGATGCTCCATAGAGTAAATTGAGTTTTCTAAGCCTGTTTACAGGTGAGCATTATTATGAGTGTTGTCAGTAGGCTTTGTTGTGTCTAACGTATATGTTAGTGCATCCTCTGTATGCAGGATTTTTGGACCATTTTTTGTGGGAATGTTTCACACTGGAATGTACCTACTTCCCAATTGTTCCTTGAGTCTGTAAAAAAGAATATAGCCTACAAGTCACTGAATTTCTAAGTACCAAGCACTTGAAAATACCACTCTTTGAAAAATGGTATCTTTAATATGATCTGCATTGGAACTGTTTATTTGGAAGGTTATTTGTAATGTAGCATATTAATCATTTTAGATGGTGCTTATTACAGGTAAATATATGTAGATATTATTTTGTAGATATATATAACTATGTTGTGTATAAACATACATACTGTAGGTAAGGTATCCCTTTTTTTCACATTCATTTTCTAGCACTTTTCTCAGTACATACTCACTCAAAAGCTCATCTTACCTAACTTTTAGCCTACCTCCAATAGTTTAATTTCTAAAAAAACATTTCCTTACAGTAATTGCCCCAAAAGGTAAGAGGTTACTTCTGGTCTTAGGTGTTATCACTAAACTTTATTAGTGTCCAAATCTGTTGAAATGTGCCTTAGCCTTCCAGAAAGAACTTTGCAGTTTCATTTACAGAAAGATGTTATTGAGCTTTCTATGAATAATGGTATAGGTGAAAATAAAACAGGGCTGTTTACTACTATGTTTTTGATAAATTTAGTTAAATCTTAATCTTTCCTCAGAATTACAGACCAATGAAGCTGCACATCGGTAACTGAAATGTTTCTCTTGTTGTAGATAGTAGGGGAACCAAAAATCCTAGATGGGAATGACCAGGAAAATGAGTAAAAGTCAACTGAAGTACAGATCTCCTTTTTTGTTTGTCCTTCTTTCTAGTCAGGTGATAGGAAATTCTCAGTGTATTGGAAGGTTTGTACAGTAGAGTTTGCTGCATTATCATTTTTCAGCTTAGAATTTTTGTGTGATTTGGTGGCTCTCAAGGCCTTCTAGTACCTTGAAATTTCCAGCTGTGCAACTGTAATTAAAAAAAAAAAGAACCCCCCAACAACAGCAAAAAGAAAAGTAACTTAAATGAGGAAATGTACCCTAGGGTTTTACATGCCTCAATAACCTTGTGTCTCTGACTACAGATCTCCCCACGGTTGGCTTCAGTGTTAAAGACTTCCCAGTTTAATTTTGTTTTATTTCCTGTGACCATCCAGTTGCACCAGACCTAGTGGAAGTAACGTGGCAAACAGTGAAATATTTTAATTTTCTTTATCTTTTAATAAGGATAGAGATATTTTTCTAAGTAGCTGTATTTAGTCCAGAGACTTGGAGCACTTTTTTGCTTCCAGATTTTGTGCTGACAGTTACTGATGTGCACAGAGGTTAATGTTAAAGCTGTGGCAGCAAGTCCAGTGGAAGACAGGGTGTGGTGTGAAGACACAGTGACCTAGAAGAAGAGACTTGAATTTTGTTGTCGAACACTGCATATTGGAAAATACTATTTTCATTAACCCTCCTAGCCACAATTTGGACTTTACAAGATAGTCTCTTATACAGCTTGTATTTGGAAATTTATTTGGCCTAAGGCATTAAATTTCGTATACTAAAAATGCACTGCCTTTAGGAAGAAAGGGTATGCATTTTTTGTTGTTTTTTTTTTCAAGTAGTATTATCTGACTGTCGTGTTTGGGTGTCTCAGAGTCAAATGAAATCACTTGGACTGTATTACTAACATCCTTGCCAGAACAAGCTGTAACTAGAAAGTGTTTCCTTTTAAGAGAGCTGTAAACCTTTTCTGGTGTGCAGTTTGCATACTCACGATAACTGTGATATTAAGTTAAGACCAGGGCAGAGAACAATTTAGTAGTAAAGAAATAAAATCTGAAGCCAAACCAGTTGGAGAAGGAAAGAAGAATGCCTCAAGCTCAGTCTTGCAAGGAGTTGGGCATGTTAGCTTCTGATTCATCAAAATGCTTATCAACAATTTAGTGATTAATTCTGTTGAAATCGGTGTTATTTGTTCTGTAGTGTAGTGAAGCACACCCATCCTCAGTGAAACATAGGGCTGCATGTTTTCATGGATTTGGACTAATTGATGTAGGATATGGTTGGTTTGAGCCCTTAAAAGTACAGGGTTTCACCATAATTCTTTCCCAGGGGACTCCTCATGCATTTGGCTGTTACTGTTCTAGTATCTAATAGCATAAAATCAAGGGAGTAAAAGTGAGACCAAAACCCTTCAGCTGAATTTTAGGTAGTTAATTAAATACCTTGTAAAATGGTTTATTTGCTTAAAATGTATTTTACCTGTCATATGGCATGAATGTATTACTTCAGGAATTAAACCCTTAATGGTTGTACAAATTCGCAGTAAGAAATTAATTCTTTACCATAGGAGTTTGCAAACTTGGTGCAAACAAAACCAGATTGCAAGGTGGGAAGAAATGGTACCCAATAACTAGAAACATGCTGAGTTCTTACTGTAAGAGCAGCAATTTTCTTCTAGTAATTGTTGCAGAGCTGTTATCCATCAGAGCAGTTAATGTCACTCTAAATTGCTGCATTTGTATGGTAGTCTTTTAAAACTGCCGTTGTTTTGAGAAGGTGAAAAAGAGCTCATTAAACATCTAAAGACTAATTTTTGGATCATGCTGGAACTTCTGAGTAACTGCTGAGTATCCAGTTCTGGAAATTGAAATGGCTTGGCTGGTGTCTGAATCAGGACCATCACTAATCTGGATATTATAAAAGCATTTTTGTTCTCAAAGTTGCAAGCTTTTTTTTTTTGTTTGTTTGGTTGATTTGGCTTTTGTTTTAAGACTATAAGCACTTAAAATTCAGCCATACCCTAATGACATTTTTATAAATGTATCCTGTTACTTAGAGACTAAGGTACCATTTTCCATATGATTTATTATTAGAGAAACTAAAGAGAGAGTAATACTCAAGCTGTGTTTTATGTGGTTGCAAAATACGTTAAATATCACAACAATGTATGAACTAATAAATACATTGGTATATGTCACATTTCTTAGTCTCTAAGTCTCTTCTAAAAATCTAATCACTTTGTACTTAAAGCATTTAAAGTATTTCATAGTAGAAAAGCTGATAATGCATCCTTCAGCATGACATTTGCAGGACAGATCCATCCATTTCTTTGTCATTTGCATTATTTTCTGTAGGCCTTTAATCAGAGTTACGAAACATAGATATCAAATATTCTTTGTGGAAATACCACAGTTCTGTCTACAAACTTTCTCTTTCTTGGAAGTGTGTTCTGCTTTGTTTTGATGCTTTCTTGGGTAGTGAGTGAAATAATGTTGAGAGGAGAAGTTCACTTTCCAGTAACTGTCTTACACAGAACTGGCAGTCTGTCTGTCTGGATACACTGCAGTCATGGAAACATATTTGGTTTTGGGAGGAGAAAACCTAGCTGATCTCATTTTGGACCCTGTGGGAATGCTGTCTTCTGAAAGTGATATTTTGATACCTATGATAAATTTTGTCAAGAACTGGGAACTTACTTTTGTCCTTACTTGTAGTCTGGAGCTACAATCAGATCACACCAGCTTTGGAATTTAGCCTTCCTGCTGTCAAAGTCAATGAAGCATTGTTTGGCAGGGGAATGTTTTACAAAAGCATAAACGGGGTATTTTCTGTTGGTGTAGTGTGTGCATTACATCCCAGAGAAGGTGGGATATCAGCTGTATAAATTGATCATTATTTTCCGATTAGGGGGCAGTATATGATGGGTTTTGTTTGTCTTGCATGCCAGAATGATCTCGCTCAATCTGGTTTTTGAGTCTTCAGCATCTCTTCCAAATTTTTTATTTAATTCTCCATCATTTCTTTATTTAATTAATCACAATCTTAAATAGCCATTTATTTTAAGGTTTAGAAATGTTTACCTTCATGCGTTCCTTCCCCCCATTAAATGTGTCAGTGGAAGCCTGTCCTGATTTTTACTATGAGTGGAGGAAAAAAAAAAAAAGACAAATCACATGAGGAGAGTGTTTCTGCAGCATCATTCCTCTAATTTTCAGCTCTCACGTACAGCGTGAAAGCAGCTGCAGTCAGCTGACAGTTCGTGGTCATGCTCGGATATATGTGAGGAAGGGGCGTGCTGGTTTAAATGCATAATAAAGCCCTTGTTTCGTCACCAGGAAGCAGGGATGGATGGTAGCAGCCCAGGGAAATGAGAGACACTTATGTTGCTGTAGTGGAAGGGAAATCTCATTCCACGGAGCCAGAGCTCTCTGCAGGCAGCTGTAGGGATGCACCGAGGCAAAATGGCACTAACGTATTTTGCTTTCTGTAAAGGTACAGGATAAACATAAGGAGCAGATAAAAGCCTGAGATGGACGTGCTCACAAGGAGGGTGAAGTTATTTTTTATGCTCTACTGCCCTTTATGTCTGTTGGTACCTTCCAGTGAAATCAGTTTAGCTGTATTTTTAGCTTGCTGTAGTCAACATCAATATGACAAGATAATTCTGTCTTTACATCTGTAAGCAGTTTTTACTGTATTTTCCTGTTTTCTGCCAGCTGCAGTTTACAAAGGATGTCACAGCACTGGTAAGAAATGTACAGTAGCCATTTCTCTGATGGTTTTGTAAGGCATGTTTTTCTTAATGGTTTGTGAGAAGCAAGAATATGAAACAAGAAGTTTGGAAATGAGCTAGATAATCTGAGCTGAATTTTCTTCATAATGCTGATCTCTTGGTTTGTGGTTTGTGCCTGTGTTATTTGGTCTGTTTTCTCTTAGTGTGCTTGAATATTTTGCACTTCACTAATGCTCGATGTAACATTGCAGCAGTATTCTAAATGCCTCGCCCTTTTCTCTACTTTGCTGTATGTTAATTTTATGGCTGTACTTGGGCTTTTATAACTGCCTACTGTTAAGAAAGAGCACATTGATATACTGGAATTGAGCATGTTATGATTTGAACAGGAAATGCTGCGATACGATAGCACTCCTAAGCGTGTAAAAGCCCTGAGAAATTATTTTAATCTTCTGTTACATTGGCATTGGCTCTTTATTTCATTATGTTCAAACTGAACAAAGTCATGCTGAAGTTTTCCAATAACAGAATATCTTAAACAGAATGTGTTTAAGTATGCTGTATGCTTCTCATTGATTTATTATTTTGAATGCTCTGTTAATTTCACAATGACAAATGCTGCTTTAGAACCGCTGCAGAAACATACTAAGTGTAACATAGCCTTTTTTTTCTTAAGAGTCAGGTTGTTATGCATGAAGATGCAGAGTGTACTAAGGAAATCAGAGATTTCAGTTTGAGTTTCAATACTGCATGAACAGTAATGAATATGTATGAATTTTCATACTATTTGTACCTCAACGTTAAAAATGCTAAATATCGTTAATATTTTTTGCAGTAAAATTATTGTACCATGTACTTGCTGTCTCCTGTAAAATACAAATGACTTATAGGGTGTTGGCTCACAACAATATGTTACTGCTTCAATTTATTCAGTATATGTTTAGGAACAGTAGCTTTTATGTAGAAGACATCTTCAAGGAGTGTGTGTGTGTATGTATGTATATTTATTTGTCTGTACTTCTCATATATACTGCATCAAGTGAACAGAGTTGTTTTATACCCTAAGTGTATAGAGAATTTTCTAGTGCTAGTTGAATTTATTACGCAGCATTTTAACCTATTGATTGCTGTGAAATTCCAGTTTCCAGCAATGGGAGGCTTAAACGAGAAAAATGTGTGAAGTATCATGTTAGAAAGCAGAATTCAAGGGGAGAAAAATACTTTGTTGTGTACTCATGGATTTTGAGAGATCTGACTCAGTGTACTTGCAGTATTTCCTAGAATCGGGCATCAGTTCTGTTTTAATTGTTGAGGGAGGGAATGTATGTCATGATTTTGCTTGTTCTCTTTCTGCTCACTAAGGGGATGGAATGCTGGTTTTATCTTTTCTACTAACATTTTGTCTAAAATTAAAGGGAGTGTGAATTTTGAACTTGTGTTCCCCTCCCTTGAAGCTTGAGCATACAAATACTACATGGTGAACTTTTACATCTCCCTCACTACTGAATACTCACTTCATGTTCTCTCCACAGGCCTATTCCCAAGATGCCTACCTGAAAGGCAACGAAGCCTACAGTGGTAATGCCCACAACATACCTGAACCACCACCAATATGTTATCCACGCCTGACATCCACAGCCTCTGTTAAGGCACAAGCTGGAGACAAGCTCCCTTCTGACTTCTCACTGGGGAAACAGCAAGTCAGTAGACCAGTCCGGGCATTGGCACAGCCAGAGAGGGCCTACAGAATGGAAATACAAGTGCCTCCATCACCAACAGACATTGCAAAATCAAATACAGCCGTGTGTGTTTGCAATGAAACTGTAAGGACTGTTATTGTGCCTTCTGAGAAGGCTGTAGATTTGCCGTCTTGCAGAAATAACCATGCTGGTCCATCACACAGGACAGAAGAAGTTAGATACGGCTTAAAAGATCAGACCAATCTGAAAGCATGGACCACATCACCACCATCCTTAGTGTCCACTGCCATTGTACTTCCCCAGACTCCAATAACAAGACCAGCTGATACAACTGGAACAGTAAGTAAATCTTCAAATTATGTAGTATGTCCAGAAGGCATCCCAAACACCAGGCCTTCTGCTCAAGCCACAGACTCGCCCTCAGTCTCTACTAATCACTACAGTTCTCCAACCTCCCACCAGCATATAGACTGGAAGACCTACAAAACTTACAAGGAGTACATTGATAATAGGCGCATGCACATGTATGGCTCCCGAACAATACAGGAAAGGTTAGACAGCTTAAGGGCAGCTTCTCAGAGCACAGCTGAGTATAATCAGGTGGTGCCAAATCGCACTGCTTCTCAGGTACGGCGCAGGAGCACCTCTCACGACAGGGTTCCGCAGTCGGTCCAGATCCGGCAGAGAAGTGTATCCCAGGAAAGGCTTGAGGATCCCGTGTTGATGAAAGAGTGGCCACGAAGTGCTTCACAAGATACTCTAACCTCGCCTTCAGTCAATGCTAGAAATCACAGGGCTCGGTCATGGGATTATCTTAGCAAACAGGGTGAAGTGCTAGAAAATTTTCATTCTGACAATATGATTGCAGATGCAAATGGAGATAGGAGAAAGACTTACAAATGGACAGGGTTTACTGAACAAGATGATCGGCGAGGTATTTATGACAGATCTAGACAACATGCATTTCATATGTCCCTTCGAGGTCAAAATTTTCCTGTTGCTCCAAATACTTATATTTCAGACAACAGGAGAACAGGTAGTAGAGCTTCTCTACCTGGTTCTCACTTTCAGAAAGCTTCACCAGATATTAAAGTGTTACAGCCTTCTCGTGATTCGCAAACTCCTCTGGGAGTTTCAAAATCTGCAGGTGTTTCACAAGAGAGGTTATCTCTCACACCAGCCAGAAGTTCTAGAAGTAGCTCTCTGAAGAACTCAGCTCCCTATGCAGCAAAACCTTCGATTCCCCTTAACCAGGGCCTGGATGCTATTGCCAGCAAAGACCAAAGAACAGTAAATCACTTGCATCAAAGCAGTCCGTTAAACCAACAGTCAAGGATCCGAGCTGAAGGTGCCCCAGATCACAAAACAGAAACTGGTAAAACCATCCAGCCCTCCTCTATGGCTCCGGCTTCCGCCAAACTTGTTCAGCCAACAAGTGAGTGTTTAACTACCTCTGACAATGTAGATGGTTCCATCAGACAAAAGATTCCGGGCTTTGAAAGGGAAGATGTTCGTGAGTCTGACAGTCTGCAAATGGATGTTCAGGGAAATGACAAAGACGCAGTGGTCATGCGGGACAAATCACCTTCTGGCCACCAAACTCCCCAGCCTTTGAGGCATCAGTCCTACATTCTTGCTGTAAATGACCAAGAGGCAGCCTCAGACACTACCTGTTGGTTACCTAATGATGCTCGAAGAGAAGTCCACATAAAAAGAATAGAGGAAAGGAAAGCATCAAGTTCCAGCCCACCTGGTGACTCTTTGGCTTCAATTCCGTTTATTGGTGAGTTAAATTATTTCAGTGTATGTCAAATGCTTTTCTCTCCTAAAGTTGATGAAAAACACCATGCCAGGTAACTGACTGCTATTCCTGTAAACCCTGAGCTTGAGAGGCATTGGAGATTTTTCTCATCTAAAATAACTTAAGCTTGGTAAAAGTAAAAATACTTTTCAGTGGAGGAAAAAAATACTCTTTTTTGTTTGGGGGTCCTGGAGAATGAGTGTAAAAAACCCCACAGTGATGTAATATTTTTTTCTAGAGTTTTCTTTAACCCTCTGGGTAAGTCTGTGTTACATAACTCCATCTGGTTATCACTCTACATAATATTGTGATGTTGTTTATATGGACAGCTAGCATTTTTCAACACCTTTCAAATGTTTTTATTTCTCTAGTATAAAACATACTTGGAATCCAGTACAGAGAGAATAGGGATGCAAATCCTAATAAGAGTGATTTGTGGGGAAAAAAGAAGTTTTTCAGCTGAATAGCTTTCTGAGACAGATGGGGAATAGATGAAAGCTGTTTCAGGTGAAGGGATAGCAATAAAAAGAAGTGGCTTTGAAAGTAAGGATGCTAATGTGGATATGAATGAAAGGGTTTGTGGAAGCAGAATCTGAGAAGGCAAAAAGATTTGCCTGTGTGCTGTGACACAGGGTTGGAATTACAGGGAGCTTATGATAGGGAAGGGTGCTGAAGAGGAAAAGAACCAAAGGAAGAATGGGAAATAGTAGAAAAAAAATTATAGTGAATGTTGGATATGTGATGAATTAGTGTCTTCTGCTGAAGAGAGAGTTACAGTGTCAGAGCATTTCTGTTCTATCCAAGTAGTCAATGCCTCTGTTGTCTTTGTCCTGCTGTTTTTCTTGGGTTGGATTTTCTTTTGTTGTGGCTGATTTAATCCTTTGTAGTCCGGATGTCTGTGGATCATTTTCCACAGGAGTTGATTTATACCTGATTCTCTGTGCTCTTGAATTTTGTGTAGGAAGTATTTAGAAAATACTGCCGAATTTTGATTTTCAGATTCATCTGTGTGAAAACCAACTATTTTTAATGATTTTTTTCTTTTCTTTACAGATTAGGTTTAGGGAATTGCAGATACAATATCTTTAGTATAATTGTCTTCTGTTGGGGATCTGAAGCAGTGATTTTTTTTTTCCCCCTAGCATTATCTATAACATCCACTACTAGTTGAAAGCGAATAACCAAAAAGCAGTGTTTCATCAGAAAATGGAAATCATACAAAAGATACAGTAATTCTGTTCTTTTTACAGAATACTGGTAAGACATTAAAAAGTGCTTTCTTAGCTAGCAGATGCTGCTTTTGTCGGGTTTTTCATTTTGAATGGGAGTTGTATAGATCTTTTTCATTCTTGTTATGACTGGATGCATCACTGTAATTTTAGATTCTTCTTTAGACCCAGCAAATCTTTCTTTAAGGATTAGCAAAGTTTGTGAGGCATATAACTGATCTTTGTGCAGAATTTTTCAATACTGCCTGAAATCAGTGTTGGGTTCTTAATTTGGTTATGTACCACGTTTGCTGGGAGTATTCTAATCCCATGCAGTTTAAATGTCATGTTAAAGTCAGATCAAGATTGCTAACATCAAGCCCAACCTTTTCTACACCATCTTCTTTCTTGGTTTTGACAAAGATTTCCCATGAACTTTTATTTATGTGACTTGCTTCCATATTTTAGAGAAATGTGTTGATTAAAGTTCAGTGAAACCTTAATCATGTCAGTTGTACTGTATTTGTTAGCAGCTGAGCAGTTCAGAAGGAACAAAATTGTTAAGTCTGCATTGCAGCCTCTTGGTATAACACCACATGGGATTGAATTCTTATAAGCCTCTTGCAATGAAACCTCCTGAATATTCCAGAAATACTAAAAACTGGTGCTTCTGGAGCCTAGGCACTCTCTGAGTCATCATGGTCTTGATGGCTGTCTTCCTAGCAAGAAATTGCTGTGCCAGTGCAGGTGCTAGGTAAAGTTTCCACCCCAGCTTTCCAGCATCTTGAAGAGGAAGTAACCCTCTCTGAATAGAAAGAGCATGAAATGTTATGAAAGTGGACCACTTCTTATGTTAGAATTTATATGCATTATTCTAACTTTGCTTGTTCTGCTATCATTATGCCTAATTACAACTTCGCTTGTTAAAAGCTGTGTTTAATCAGACGGATAAAACCCTAGATCTGCTTTGAAAATCACTTAAAGGTTTTTAACTCTTCAGATGCAAAATCACTGGGAGTTTTGGTTTAGGGTTTTCTTTTGGGTTTGGTTTTTTTTTTTTTTTTTTCTTCTCTGATTATTGAGAAGGATCTTACTTTGAATGATAACATACCTTGGAGTTGGCAATTGCTTTGCTTTCCTTATGCTTATATCCATATAGTAGGGGTTTTTTGCATTCTTAGGTTTTATTGGATAGAGCTAATTTTAAAAATACACTTACTGAAGTTATTTATGCAGTAGATACTTGGAGTAGTGTAAAAATGTAAATTTGGGGGAGGGTAACAAATACCTTCCACGGTCACAGAATGCTACCATTTAAAATATGTGGTGTTTAAAATATCTGTGGAGTGTCTATTTTTATCACCACTTTCTGCTTATTAAAAGTAGTAGTAGATATGGCCAGGATAATATTTTGGTAGAAATTTAGCCAGGAACAATTGACTTTTGCAGCAGTATTTTGTGACTAACCTACTTCGGGGAACAGCATAAGATAAGGATGATTTTAGCTCTGGGTAAGTAGTGCAGTGCCCTGCACCACAAACAGAAATCCAAACAGGGTTTCTGTTGAGCTGCCTTACAGCAGATTCTTGCAGAGATCATGGTGGGTTACTGAATGACTGCCTTTTGACACTAGTCTTTTCAAAAAGGTAGTTCAGGAGCAGGGAGATTTAAATTTTGGGTGCAATTTATTAATAGAAATGAGAGATCTGCTCAGACCAAACCTACTAGGTAGCTGTCATATCTTTTATGGGAGAAATGGATTTATTTGAAAAAAAATCGGCGAAATATTGTGTGTTCAGATTCTTCAGGTGAGCACATGTTCTTGGGGGTGATGAAGCTGCCAGCTTTACAGGTACACATACAGTGGTATTGCTGGCTTTGCTACTTTCCTTGTGCTTCTAAATACAGGATATTGTGGTTCTCAGAAAGCTGCTGTTTCTATTTCAAGTCCAAAGAAAACCTGTGTTCTTAAAATGCTCTTTATTGTTTCAAACTGTACAAGTTAGTCTAGTGACAGTCTACTGTTTTTACCCAGAAAACGTCTCACCTGTTCTCTAGACTAATAAAAATACCATTTTCTCTGTCAGTGACTATATTAGCAATTATGCATTTTTTGGACTTGCATAATATCTGAGAACAGCAAATTATAATTTTCTGAACTACTAGGTAATTTTTGGATGAGTTAATCTTCCCTGGAATGGAAAGTAGAATGCTGCTGAACATCCTGATAGACGTGGATGACAAGTGGTGTCTCTCAGGGGTCCTTACTGGGACCAGTGTTATTAAATATCTTCATTAATGGCATGGACAGGTGGGGTTGAGTGCACCTTGGCAGATTTGTGGATGACACCAAGCTTGAGAGGTGTTGTTGCCACACTTGAAGGATGGGATGTCATCCTCTGAGGGATCTGGACAACTTGAGATGTAGGCACGTGGGAATCTTACGTGGCTTAACAAGACCAAGTGCAAGATGCTCTGAGCTGGGGCAACCCCTGGCATCAACACAGTCTGGGGGATGGACAGGGCGAGAGCAGCCCTGCCCAGAGGGGCTTGGGGGTTGTGGTGGATGAGAGGCTGGACATGACCCAGCACTGTGCACTCACAGCCCAGGAAGCCAAACGTGTCCTGGGCTGCACCAAAAGCAGTGTGGGCTGCTGGTGAAGGGAGGGGATTCTGTCCTCTACCCTGCCTTGCTGAGACCCCACCTGCAGTGCTGCATCCAGCTCTGGGGTCCCCAGCAGGGGGGATGTGGACCTGTTGGAGCAAGTCCAGGGAATGGCCACCAAGTTTGGCAGAGGGATGGACCACCTTTCCTGTGAGGAAAGACTGAGAGAATTGGGATTGTTCAGCCTGGAGAAGAGAAGGCTCTGGGGTGATGTAACTGTGGCCTTCCTCCTGAAGTGAGCCTACATGAAAGATGGAAAGAGACTTTTTGCAAGAATGTGGCAATGGATTTGAACTGAGATTTAGATTAGATGTTAGGAGGAAGTATTTTACTGTGAGGGTGGTGAAGCACTGGAACAGGCTGCCCAGAGAACTTGTGGATGCCCTATTCCTGGAAGTGTTTAAGGCCTGGTTGGGTGGGTCTCTGAGCAACCTGGTTTAGTGGAAGGTGTTCCTACCCACACAGGGGTCTTGGGTCCCTTCCAACCCCAACCATTTTATGTGTTTTGTAACTGTTGAGATAATGTTGATTCAGAATATAGTTACTTTAATACATTTCATAGACATAAAAGTATGCATGTCTGAGATTTGCAGAAAATTGAAAATATTTTTTGCTTCTTACAGTACTTACTGTAGAATAAAAAGAAATCTAAAAGAGGTTAATCTAACTCCCACATTGAGTTGAAGGAACTACCCACAGGAGTGAAATGGGGGTGCTACTTCAATACTTAACCTCATTGCAGCATGAGTAGCTGTCAGACCAGCTTAATGCTTTGGCCATGACTACTGGGTGGATGTTTTATCACATGAAAATTAGCCTAAATACATCTGTTTAAAACTAAGGTTTTTAAAACATCACCTTGAATTCAAAATTATTTTAAAATAAAATCTAGTTCATAGCCATCCTATTGTAGAGTTTTTTTCTTAGTCATGTAGTAGCATCATGTAAGTACAAGGATTTTTCCTCAAAGGTAAAATCCCATTTTGAAAATATTTAGTACATCTTTACCCTAGAAAAGTTTTAGGTCACTTCATTCCACTATTAATTTGTGAATAACTGAGAGAAAATTAGTCAGATAAAAATACCTGACCAGACTTTGATAACACCAA